AAGGAAACTAATGAGAACGGAAGGGAAAGAATAGGGAATATGCTCAATGTATAATATGCTTGTGTGAAAATGCTTTATATAACTTAGTAAAATGTACAGTGAATCTATATTGTGAAAGCAAACAGAGAGGTTTAGGGTCAAGTAAAGAAGCAGAGACTCAGCTGCCAGAAGACACAAAGTGACACCGGCAAGAAGCTGCACAGCTCGGAGGTGGCGTCCTGCCTCTTCCTGCAGTTTGTTTCTGATGCACTTTTCTAGCTGCCTGCTATTTTCTTTCCTTGATAGGGCTTCGGAAGCTGAGGTTTCCCAACTTACCATTGTGCTGAAGCTCTGTGTCCCCAGTGGTTCGTGCCCCAGATGCCTGTCCTTTACCACCCAGAACCTTGAAATGAAAGTCAAGACACACCCTTGGATACAGAAGAGCAGCTTGAGGCAAGAGCCTGGGATAGGAAAAAGAAAGCCTAATGCCTGCTCTTTACCACACATCTAAGGCTGGCATGTAGAACCACCTCGGATGTCTCAGCTGCTGAGTCAGGTTCTAGAACCTTGGCTGCCGATCAGCCCTTTACCACCCCTGTATTGGACTCTGCGGCATGCTCCAGGCACAGCTGAGTAGAGTGGGCTCTGTTCCTAACCCACTCCTCCCAAGACATCTGGATTCCCTGAACACCTGCCCGCCTTTCCATGGATCTGTGTTGTGGGTTCATTTGGCTGCTTGGGAGCCAAAATGGCTGGGCTCTCTAACATCCCTCAGAAAGTGCTTTCTCTGTCCTTGCTGCTTGACTTATCTGTCATGTTTTCTGTAACCTACAAAGACACAGTAGTTCTCGGGTTGAGGCTAAAGGCTCATTGCTTGGCTGCCAGCAGAATCAGCTGCTCACATCTCTCTCCAATCCCAAACTTATTGCAAACCAAAAGGTACAGCCTTCTTTCTAACACACAGGGAAGTCAGTTCCCAGTCTAACCACGGCGGGGAAAATAGAGTTCTCACTTCGTAACAGGAGGGGCTTGCTCTGTCTGCAGTGCCACAGCAAAGGCAGTCTCAGTGGGCTAATAATGGCAGCGGGAGCCATCACAAGTTTTTCCAGGTGCTGTTCACACTAGGAGGCCCCCCACAAGTCTTAGGGACTACACTCTTATCTGCCTACCCAGGCTTGCATCCCTGATGCCTAAAAATATTTCTTCTTCCCATTAGGGTACCCTGCAGAAAGATGCCTTACCTGCCTTGATGTCTAGATCTGTCCTAGCCACCCTCTAAGGGGCATAAGGGTCCCAGGCAGTGGGCCAGTTTCCACTTCATCCAACTCTACTTCCTCCACACTGTGCCCAGTCTCAGCTGACATCCCTTGAAGCTGGAGGGTCAGTGCATGGCAGTTCTACCCACCCCTCCTACCTTTGACTTCAGGGCCCTGACAGGGCTAACAAGCCTTCTCCCAGCCTTCAACACCTTGCTTAGCTGGTGGCATTTGATCCCATCTCCCACCAGCCAGTAGAACTCTCCTAGATTCTTGCAGTGGGTGGGTTCCTTTTCCTTTTTTCCAGGGGCAGCCCACCACCACACCATTACAGCCACCTTCCCGATATAGGGATCCTGAACTTTAGACCTCAGAGAGGCCCAGAGTGATCTTTGGGCCAGTTTCCACTGAGGGCTGGACTGCAGGAACTATCATCTTCATCCAGGCAGGAAGTGGCTCATCTTCTGATTGCATATTTCATGGTAATGGAAGGGGTGTTCTCTTTAGGACACAACCTTCCCCAGCCTCCAGAGGCATCCTTGCGATTGAAGGTTTCAGTTAGTACTGTCCTTCCTTGCACCCAGCCCTCACCACCCTGTCCAGAAATGGTCCTTGAGCCTGGGACCCTATGTTCCTCAGAAACCTGATACTGGCTTTGGTCAGGGAGTGGCTACTGGTGAGAAAGCTGCTGGCAGGTGGTCTGGCCTTTACAGCCACCTAGGGAAGGGTTCTAGGTGCACCTTTCCTCTTACCCCCTTCCCTTTGCTCAAACTCTGCAGTGGCACACATGATCTGAGCCTGTGCTTCCTCACCAAGTTGGAGCTCAGTGCCTGTGTGCTGCCTAGTGTTTGTCAACCTGACAAACACCAGACTCACCTGAGAAAAAAGGAACCTTGATTGAAAACTGTCCCCATGAGACTGACCTATAGGTAAGCCTACGGTGCATTTTCTTGACTAAGTTTCTTGATGTGGGAGGGCCAAGCCCACTATGGGTGGTACCACCCTTGGGCAGGCGGTCCTGAGAAGTACAAGAAAGCAGGCTGAGCAAGCCATGGAAATCAAGCCAGTAAGCAGCATTCCTCCATGGCCTCTGCTTCAGTTCCTACTTTGAGTTCCTGCACTGACTTCCCTTCAGGATAAACTGTAAACTGTAAGCTGAAACAAACCCTTTCCTCCCCACAGTTGCTTTTGGTCCTGGTACCTTATTGCAACAATAGAGAGCAAGCCAAGACACCCTGAAGGCAGAATTCAGCACCATCACCGCTCACCTGGGCAGGGGCCACCCACCCTCTTCCTCATTCCTGCTGTTCCCAGAGGGCTTGGAAAACATTTCTTACTGATCTGTTCTAAAAAGGTTACATCTGACAAATTCAGTGCGTCACGGGCATCTGTGTTTTCTAGAACTTACCTGGACATCCAGTATGAGCAAATCTGTTAGCTGGACTCTCAGACTCTGTTGTCTGGGTTGCACTTAGTGATCCCTAAATCTTCCTCTTCTCTTCTGCCTCCTGCAGGCAGATGGGGAACGAGGGGCCAAGCTCCATATCCTACATGCTGAACACACTCTCAGCGAGGCCTGTCGCTATTGGACGGCTGCCAGTGACAAAGGCAGACACTGAGATAAGGGCCCAGGACCTTCTGTTTGGTGCTGCCCACCTCAAGATACTCCGTCCACCCACCGTCTTGTATTCGAAGCCCTGTTGGTCTTGCCCCAACAAATGCTTCAGTTTCCTCTCCTGCCAGCTCCAGGCCCAGTTGAAATGTGAATTCTGGGGCCACACAGACAGGGAGTAGGTCCTGGCTTCAGAGAGACCTTGCCTGTTGATGGCTGGCTTTGTTTTGTTTTGTTTGCCTGTCTGAGAGGGCAGGAAAAGAAACAAACAAAAAAACAAACAAAAAACCCCAGGATGTCAAAAGTTGCTCGTGCAAACAAGCCTAGTTCTGCCAATGCTCTGCCCTGCACTGCCCTCTCATGGCCATATGGAATCACTGCTACCTTTCTGTAACTAAAGCAAGGGCCAGGGTTATGAAACTGGGTTTGTCCTTAACATTGGAGGACTCCCTTGATACTGGTGGGAAAATTCCCTTTTTACTGTCCGGTAAATTTCAGGGTCCTCTCCTAAATACAATGGAACATTTAAGAAAACACTTGGTTTTAGCATTAGTGGAGGCTGTCCTTTTCCTGGGTGGAAGCTTTTGGCCTGGCCCTTCTCAACACTTGCTGTTTCTGTTCAGGGCTCAGAAGAGGATCATGGGTAGAGAGGGGAAGAGAAGCTCTATGAAGTAAGGTGATTCTAGTAGGTGGCTGTCCTGATTAAGTTTTTTTTTTTTTTTCTTCAAGTTGACACAAGCTAGAGTCTTTTGAGAAGAGGGAACCTCAAATGAGAAAATGCCTCTATCAGCCTGGCCTATGGGCAAGCCTATAGGGCATTTTCTTGACTAATGATTTATGTGGAAGGACCCAGCCCACTGTGTGGGGTGACAATCCTGGGAAGGTGGTACAGGATGATATAAGCAAACAGGTTGAGAGCAAGCCAGTAAGCAAGGTTCCTCCATGGTTTCTGCTTCATTTCCTGCCTCCAGGTTTCTGCCCTATTAACGAAGACAGAAACCGGTACTAAGAGTGGGGTATTGTAACAAAGCTGACCATGTGTTTTAGGGAGAAGTGTGGTTTCATTTGAACTGGAGAAGCCATCGAGTGCTCCAAACTCAGTGGGCTGTTCTCTAGCCTCTTAGAAGATAAGAATGCTGAGCTCAATGCAGATGATGGAGGCCTGGCTTGTGAGGATCAGAGGGAAATGAAGATCTATCAGGGACGTTTATGTGATGTCTTAGATTTGGATCTGTGGTTCTAGTCAGCTAGGGCTGAAGAGTCAGCTGTGGATGACAACAGAACAGAATGAGTAAAGAGAAGCCTTTGCTCTGTTAGCACACTCGATGACAGTTAGCTGAAGCTAAGGAGTTAGCAACTGTTAAGAAGAGACCAGCATCACAGACTTCCCTAGGTCCAGCACACAGAAGCTGTGGTCCGGGGGAGGTGGAGGCTGCATCTCACGCTGGCAGCTGAACTTGGAGATGTGTAAAAACCTCCCAGGTGGAACTGGTTTTGGAGACATGGAGAGAAGCTGAGGCTTGACACCCAGGCTAGTGGGGGTGTCATGGAGGGAAATTGAGGCCCATGTGGCAGGGTCAGAGTCTTCAAAGAGAGCCCAAGGGATGCTGTTAATAAAGGCACAGTCTATTTCCTGTAAGGAACCCAGCATTTTAGAGGTGCTAGTTCAAGGCATGACCGCCACAGACAACAGCAGCTGCGGAACTGAGCCAGCTGCGTGCACTGCGGATGGAAGGCTGCTAGCCCTCCACGCCTCCCGCAGAAGGGCCAGGGTGCCTGGAGGCAGTCCACACACTCCAAACAGTGCATTGCATACACTGGCATCTCTTTTCTGAACCCCAGGCCAGACTAACCTCGGTTGGTGCCTGCAAGTTTGCTGAAGCTGCTGCAGCAAGAGGCCCTCAAGAGCTGCCTCGAGTCACGATGAAGGAAGCTGGTAGGCATGGCTAGCTTCCTCAGTAGGTAACACCACAGAGTAGGCCCCGCCCCGGGGCCAGGCTCAGTAGAAAGGCTTTGTGCTGCACATACCACCGTCCGCCCTTCTCCTGCTCTCTGTCCTATGTCTGCATTTGTGTCCACAGCATCTGCTCTCAGATAAGTGTTTGGCAGCCAGATTCTTGCCTGTTGTTGGAAGAAGATATCCTGAGACAGAATCCAGAGAAACCACTTTATTTTAATGAGCTTTGGCCAGAGTAAGAAAAGGGAGAAAGAGGAATGGGTTTTGGCTCTGAAAATAGAGGATTTCAGGTTTTTCCTTGTGACCTTTTGACCGGGTAATACATAAAAGGAACAAGATGAGTGTTAGAGAGTGGTGGAGCAAAACTTTACAAGTGTTTGCCATAACTTCTCCAGGGAAGGCTCTTCTCTGCCAGTGGCCTCAGGCGCTGGGGCTCTTGCGGGCAACCACAAAGCATAAGCCGTCATTGACACAGTAGGCTGGCGAGTAGCTGAGGGAGACACAGTTGCACCTCAGCACCTGGCAACCAGCATCTTGAATAGCCTTCTCTACTGTCTCCTTCTCCAGGTAGACCCCAGAGAACTTCTTGGGGCCCACCATGTAGTGCTGGAAGCGCAGAGTAACCAAGGTCACCAGGTGGCCCCCTGGCTTCAGCAGGCCAGCCAGTCTGCACAAGGCTGCCCGGTAGGTCTCCACGTCAGGGCAGGCACACTCCATGGCCAGCAAGGTCAGCACGCAGTCAGCCAGAGGCACTTGAGCTGACCCCAGCGGGGGTGTCTTGGTCACATCACACCTCAGCACACGAGTGACGGTCCTTCGGAGCTTGGCCTCCTTCTCCTGCCACCTGCTTCTGTGAGAGGGTCAGAGAGATGCTGTGATGATTACAATGGATAACGTGACTGCAGCGAACCAACATAATAAACGATAACATTCGCAATTACAAGAAACAGCTGTTGTGGTTGTTATGTTTTCTCTGGCCTCACAGCCACCCCACTATTTAATCTGCTCAGCAACCTGCCATATAGGTGGAAACTGAGGCACAAAGCTGCTCACAGCCACCAGGGATGGTGGATTTGGTATTTGGTCTTGTCCTCTTTCAACCCCTCCCTTTCTTAAAATCATTCAATCTCTTTGGTGTATTCCAGTATTATTATCTTGTTTGTTTGCATATGTGTGTGTGTGTGTGTATGTGTGTACACACGTGTGTGGAAACATGCATGTAAATGCTTGCACATGTGTGCAGAGGTCAGCGGACCTGCCATTCCTCTGGAGCTGTCTACTCTTTTGTTTCTTTTATTGACATAGTATATCTCATTGGGCAAGTAGGCTAGGCTGGCTGCCCTCCAAGCCCCATGGATCAGATCACCTACTTCAGCCTGCTCAATGCTAGGATCATAAGCACAAGCCACAACGTTTCCCCCACCCACCCTTTTTTTATGAGTTCTGGGAATTGAACTCAGGTCTTCATACTTGCAAGGTAAGCACTGCATGAATGAGCTGTCTCCCCATCCCCTTTATTATTTTTAAAGTTATGTACACACACACACACACACACACACACACACACACACACACACATATATATATATACATATACTTCTGCCTCAATGTCCTGAGAGCGGGAGTTCAGGTGCATACCACCTTGTATGGCATTTTTTGCCATCTTGTGGCCAGTTCTGTGGCATCGATAATGTATAATGTTGTATAGCCCCTGCCACTATTTCTACCCCGCCCTCCATATAAAGTTCCTGGGCTTCAGCTGGTTATGGTGCTGGTGTCTCAGCACTTGGGAGGCTGAGGAGGACCCTGAATGAGCTCAAGGCCAACCGGGCTATGTAGTAAGACTGTCTCAAAAGAAACAAACGAAAAGACTAAACAAAACAAAATCTTATGCCTGGGGACCTTGAACTCGGTAAACAGTGTGAGCCAGTGCCTGCCAGGTGCAGCCTCTGGTTAGTGGCCATCTGATTTCGGTGTCTGGATTTGCCAGGTTGGGGTAGCTGGTCTTCTGCTCGGCTTACTTGCAGCAGGAGGACTTGAGGTTTGCCCACATTGGCGCTCCCTGCTTTTGTAAATGTATTTCCCCCCTTGGCTTCTTGGCGGGGGGGGGGGTACATGATTATGGTGTTTACTGTCCTGTCTCCTTTCCTTGGTCCCCTCCACCCACTTCCCAGCCTCTGCTTGTAATGAACCTGCCCTCTTCTGGCCATCTAGGATCCTTCCCTGCGTCCCTCGCCTGGCCCTGCAGTAACCTTGGAGCTTCCACGTCATGTCCTGTGACTTCCCCAGCATCTCCCCGCCATGTCACACAAGCAGCTCCAGTGCCCCAGCCACACCAGCTGCCTAAACCTTGTCCCCCTCTCCCTCCTCCCTGCTGCACTGCCCACGAGCCTGAGGCTCACCCTTGACTCCTCACTTCTCCTTACATCTAAACTGCTAGTCAGCGGCTAAGGAGACCCGCAGAGTTGCTACAGACCCCAGCATCCTCCAAGCCCTGCCATGGACTTCCCTGGTTATTGTCACTGCAAGGGGTAGCCCTGCCACCTGGTGCCCTGAATGGGTTTGACACTCTCCTCAGCTTGGTGTACTGATAGTTCTTTCAAAGATGCTAACCTAGTGAGATGACTCCGTGGGTGAAGGAGCTTGCTGCCAAGCCTCATAACCGACCGGAGTTCAACCCTAGGACCCACATGTTGAAAGGAGAGAACCAGCTCTCACAAGTTGTCCTCTGACCCCCACAGGTATGCACACACACACACACACACACACACACACACGTACATACATATCACATACACCTGTATACCTACATACCTGCATTGCACACCCATATATGCACACGTATACATACATATGCACATTAACATAATACACTCTCATAGACAAATAGGCAGTCATACACATACGCACACTCATTCTACATCCACAGATATGCAAACCCTAAGACACACAATAACACCTACAGGCACGTACACACAGACATGTATACACAGCATGTCATTATGTCACTCTCATCACAATTTTCAGGATGTTGGTGTGTGGCTTTGGTGGTCCTGCCTGATGCCTGACCATGTCCTCTTCATACGTGGGTCTGCAGCCTTTTCTGGGCTGCACATGTCATTTGCATGGTCTTCCTGAGATGCAGCCCTGTTCCCTCACCTCAACTACAAGAGCTCCTGGGAGACGTCACCTCTAGCCCAGAAGCTTGCTCCCCTGTTCCTGCTGGAGCCTCTCCTCTCGTCTCACACTACTTGTGGGTCTAGCATAGTGGTGGCAATCTTCCTTATGTAGCAGGGGCTCCACAGGCTCCCTCCTCCTGGCTGGCTGTTTTCTTGACTCATGACACCCAGATGGGACTAACTCCAAGACTTCTGCAACTAGTGTCCCTCAGCCATGACCACCAGAGGCAGTCCTGTACCGTAACAGAGTCAGTCTTCTGTTCTGATATTTCAGGCAGAAATTCTGACCTGTTTTGTACTCTGCTCTGAGGATGGCTAGAGGAGCCTCTCTAAGTCAGGGCCTCAGTTTCGCCAGCTATAGGAAAGGTCAGAACCACTGACCCTTGCAGCTCCATTTGGGGCATATACCCTTTATGAACCAAAGTGGATACAAGACCTGCAGAAGGTCACTGCTATTGGTTACTGCAATAGGTTTTGTCACAGTGCTGAGGGCACAAGTGTAGGGTATCACCACAGCCTGCCTTTCCATAACAAGTGTGTCCCCCTTCATCAAAGGAGACACTGAACCAGTCTCCAGAGCCAAGTGGGGATGTTGCAAGTTGGGACAGTCAGCAGGACTTTCTGGAGGAGGTGACATAGAAGCTGGTGTCACAGCTGGGTTGAGTAGGTACAGAGAAAGGGCCTGACAGTTTGGGGGTAACATTGGGACTGGAGGTGGGTCTGACTCAGAGGGAGAGTTATACGGTCATGAGGTTCAGGCCGACCAGGAAGAAAGTGACATGGGTGGTGGGTCCCTGTGCCGTCCTGAGCATCGGGAGGGGGCCTGTCCAAGAAGAATGAGGTGGGTGGGCCACATGGGACACTTGCAGGTACCTGTCTCCCTCCAGCTCACACGCATGCTGCACTATGGAGGACCAGTCATAGGCCCCTGGCTCCTTCTTCAGCCATTTCTGCAGCTCCTGCAGGTTCTGCGGAGTGTAGTCCGTGGCGATGATCTCCCGGAAGACCTCGCATGCTAAAAGCAGCTGGTAGATGGTGGGGCCAGAGCCAATGTCGATCAGGACATCGCCCCCTACACCTCCTGTGGAGATAGCATGGCAGGTCTGGGCACGCTGATTCCGCATCCTGCTGAGTGCATGGAGAGCTCCAAGCCTCATTAGGATGAGCCAGCTGAGAAGAGCAGCAGCCTCTTGCCTCTGGGCTGTGTGTTGACAGGAACGGGGAGCAATGCTGGAGGCGGGGTACAGCTGACATTGCCCCCAGGATACAAGCGGAGGCCTGGAAGGTATGCCTGGCCTTCTGGATAAATTTAGGACTGTTCTCTAATCAGTTGACACTGGCTTACTGCCAAGAACAGTGCATTTAGAAAACTGGGGACGTTGACAGAGTGACAGGGTCTGGGCTAAAGGCTGAGAAAGAAGCCAGTCAGTTCTTCGGGCATGCTAGAAAAGATAACCACACATAAGAAAGCGAGAGCAGCACTGGGGTATGCCCTCTAAGCCCCGCCCTCTCCTTTCTGTAGTCATCTTTTACACTACGGGGGCTATGCCCCATGCCAATGAGCAGTGCCGTACTCTGTACCAGCCTTTCCCAGGAGCACCGGGCTCCCTTCCTCTGTATTCTGAGGGAGCACCTTGCTACACCTTCCTTGGCACTGACTACCTGGCTAAAGAATGCTTTTGGCGGTACACTGAGCAACTTTCAGGGTCACACAGAACGCATTCTCTGTACTATGCTTGGCAGCCTGAAGTAGTAGGTTGCTTCATTTTTGCTGGTGCTACTATCAGCTCTCTGACTTTGAGTGGCCACTTCTCCCCCTCCTCACCAAGCTAAACCTTAGTTTCCCCTTAGATATTGGGGAGAAATTATGGATGCTTGTATGCATGTGTATGTGTAGGCTACAGAGCCTGGGGGGGGGGCTCTGGCAGAGGGGGAGGGTGGAGCAGCCTTGGTACTCAGGCTCATTCTGTCATTTCTCCCTGTATGGGCCTAGGAGCTCCACAAATCTGGGTGTACCCCTCAAAGTTTACGAGTGATGCAACTGAGGCTGATCATGGCGACCAGCCAAGTTCTTTGCTCCTGAGGCATGGCTCCTCTGGACTCACACACACGACTGCCAGACTGGTCACCTCTGCAGCATCTGTACAGAATGAGCTCTTTCTGTTGGCAAGGCTCCAGCCCCTCTCCAGGAGGCACCTCAGCCACTCACCTGCAGAGAAGGTCTGGTAGAGGTTCTGCAGGCTAAACTTTACGACCTCCCGTTCTGCCACCGCGCCCGAGTCGAAGCTGTAGAAGGTGGTCAGGTAGTCCTTGGGACTGAACTCCCTTTCATAGTCCTCACCGCCCAGATATACCTTGCCTTCCATCCTGGTCAGCCTCTCACAGATGTCTGCACTCCTCTTTCCCCTGCTGAGCGCCCACCCCTTCCCACCATGCCTTTTATAGTCTCTTTAGTAGCCCTCCTTTCCTAGGGAGGAGCTAGGGTCCCTGCAGATGATGTCAGTGTCCTGGTGTCGGATTTCTGGCTAGATTTGATTTTTGTGATGAAGAATGATAATGCTAGACTATCCCCAGCCCTGTTCTGGGGAAGCTCTCATCTCTAGTTCTCCAGGGTCACTGGTGTGCCAACAGGAGGTTGGGGGGAGGAGAGAATTACAGAAGGACTGAGGTACACAGAGGGGCAAAGAGAAAAGAGAGACCAAGGAGACCAGGGTCTGCCCAGAGCTGCTTCACTCTTGAGGTTGAGAGTAGGCTGGGTGCAGACACAGGGCCAGGCCCCTGGCCAACACATTCAAGGGCCTCTGGCTTCATCTCTGGTACTGCAAAGAAAACAAGAACTAGGGCCGAAGTGCTCCTTAGGATGGGTTGGGGAAGTAGGATCAGAGACTGTTAAAATTTCTCTGACACACTCAGTGAACTTGCCTTTGCAAACAGCCTGTCTTTAACTGAGTTAATGATTCCCCAGTGGTTTCAATCTTGTTTTCCCACTTGGCTTAAATGTTTGCTTTTTTATTAGCTCAGGAGTAAACTTTGACAGCACCTCCCCAGATCACCAGGCCTGTGTTGGCCAGGCCCCATATTTAGACAAACAATTGAAAAAGTGTTAACACACCCAAGAAGGTGTCATAACACTGCACAGAGCTCCACACACCCACAGACACGCGTGTTGCCCTTCTCCCATCCCGGGATCTTCAGCTTGCACAGATCTGGTTTGGTCTGGTCTGGTTGCTTTGAAAGACGATGCCACAGTTTTCTTTTCTTTTACTGCACGGTGAACACCATGACCATAAGCAACTTGGGAAGGAAAGGGTTTGTTTGATGCATACTTCCTGATCACGGTCTATCGTTTAGAAAAGTCAGGACAGAAACCCAAGCAGGAGCAGAGGCAGGGAACTTGAGAGAATGCTGCTTACTGACTTTTTCTCCTTGGCTTGCTTAGCCTGCTTTCCTAAACAACCCAGGGCTGCTGGCCAAGGATTGGCACCACTCACAGTACACTGCGCTCTCTCACATCAATCATTAATCAAGAGAAAAACCCCACAGACCAGTCTGATGGAGGTCGTTCCCCACATGAGGGTCCCTCTTCCCAGGTGACTCTAATTTGTGTTAGGTTGGCAAAAAATCTAACTGGCGCAGCTGCTACCACAAAGGGAAAGTGGGCCGAGAATGCACAGACCCTTGCACCACTGGAGGGAGCCTGCAATGATCACAAAATGGAAAAAAAACAAAAAAACTTGCCTTATCTCTCTCCACAAGTTATCCAGGAGTGAGAGATTCTAGATAGCAAACTTTAGAGTGGGTTTTCAGGGGCAAGCATGGGGCAGGTATCACATCACGGGTGAAGTTCAGGACACCGATTGCCTACTGTGCAACAGGGGTCTTCTGTCATCTTTACAACAGCCTGCAAGGTAGCTGCCCTTTCAACAACCAGGAAGGGGGCAGTGCAATGCCCATGCTCGCTCTGGCAGCGCTAGGGGCTGCAAATTCAGGTTCAAGGCCCTAGGCCTAAAGAGAGATTACAGACCCTCCCCGAGGCTCACCCTGCTCCTCATCCTGAGCCCTCCTTTAAGCTCTCTGCACTTCAGTTGTATGCTTCCCGTACTCACATACTACCTTATGAGCTCAGGGAATCATCTAGAATGGAAGGTGATCACTTTCTCTCAGCATTCTGGAGTTTGGGAAAACATCTCCACGGGGATACAAACTTGAACCCAGTCTTCATCGTTATTTTCCTTGTGGGAAGCACAATTTTCCCCTCTCCTGGAATTCACAATGCCTGAACTCTGGTGTTTCTATTTCATGAGAATGGCGCTGCACAGCTGGTCATCCTGTTGCAAAACATACAATTAGCCTTCCACTTAAATTTATTTAAAATGGATTGAAGCTAAGATCTGAGGAATCTAAATCTTAGTAGGTTAATGTGAGTGGAGGCACTGAAGGTGTGATATTTGTCTAGGGTTTCTCACACCTGTCCCTGACACTTGCACCTGAGCTCACGTGCAAAGATTCATTCCTCACTGTGCTCCTGTGTCTGGGGCAAGCTACCTGAATATGTTAATTGCACCCCTGGTGTCCAACAGTTGAAATCCTATCAGCTACTGTAATTAACAGAATGTGATTTTGGTCTGGCTTTTGACTGGGTTTTTACATATGTGATACTGAGTCAAGGCTTCAGGACAAATAATTTAGCAAAGAATTTTCATGCTATTTTCTATTTGCCTTTGAACTTTTTAGGATAAGTATCTGCTTAATTTCCCTCTAAGAAAATAATGAAAAAGGATAGTTTTTCATTCTCTTTGGGCTGACTTCCTTCCATCCAGGGTTGGGGAAACTGTTCAGTATTTGTGGCTTGTGGGAAGATACTGAACCCTAGTCTGAGGATTTGGCCCAAAGCGGGGCTTGTTAGCAAAGCAGGTCTTTTCTATAAGTGTCTTCCCTGGGACAGGGTTCTCTTTCAACAGCCCTACACAGGAAGGCAGGGGATGTGGGCTGACTATGGCTGCTTGCTTGTAATGACACAGCCTTTTCTAGCCCACTGAATTTTCAGGTGGCCTCATCATCTTCACAGGTAGTCTTAAACATGCTCGTTTGCTTAAAATTATGGCCTGACTCTCCTGAGTATAATTTCTTTTAGCTATTTTAAAAAAAATCGCAACATAAGAAAAAGTCTAAAATGCCCATGTTCTTAACAGGGACATAAACTGTCCCATAGGAACAAAACCCTTGGCTCTCAGCAACGATTTTGCCTACTAGGGGCCCACCAGCAATGACTGGAGACATTTTTGTTCATCCTAGGTGGGGACCAGGGGTTACTAGCATCTTGGGGTAGAAGGCCAGCATTGCGGACCATCCTGCAGTGTTCTTAAGTTCGGTGTCAATGGCTCTGATGTAGAAAAACACTTTTCTTAGAATATTTCCATGAGATCAGCTCTGAGAAGATTTCCCTACCTCTGTGAGGACCCCAACTGGGCTGGAATCAGTATATACTTAGAGACCAAGAGGGCAAATGTGGTGGGGAGGCAAGAGAAAGCCAGAGGGAGAGGCCTCTGGAGGAACAAGGGACAGGTTGGAATAGTGGAAGCAGAGTAAATTGGGCAGTATGAACACAGACTGCAAGGTGTTCCATCCATCCCATGGCATGGACTCTGGATAGTATAAGCACATTTGCATTCTGTAGAAACAGAGGGGCTGGACAGCCAGCTCAGGTAGCCCCTGGGAGGGAGGTTGGCTTGGGAGGGTGGGCATTAGGCCTCCAGCTCTCTGTTGTTGGTGGTGCAAGACCTCACCATATAGCCACGTGAGTCTAGGGTGATACCAGCCCTGATTTTCCTGATGTTTAGTTCATGTGTCAACTTGGTGTTTGGATGAGATTAAATTTTTACTGGCAGACTTTAAGTAAAGTGGGTAATTTTTCTAATGTGGGCGGGCCTTATCCAATCAGATGAAGGCACACATAGGATGGGAGACTGACTTCCCAAGCAGAAAGGCTTCTGCAGCAAATGGCGCCTTGCCTGGGTCTCCAGCCTGTCAGCTCCACACTGGACATTCAAACTTGCGGTCATGTGGATTCAGAGCTTAAGACAAATCTCTTCCCATGTTCACATCCTGGATCACCTAAAGAACCCTGACTAACACAGGCACCTCCAGACCACAGTTGATGCTCCTGGTAAGTACTGTCTCTGTCTTAGAGTTTCTAGTGCAGTGATGAAACGCCATGAGCAAAAGCAACTTGGGGAAAAAAGGGTTTGTTTTGCTTATGATTCCACATCACTGTTCATCATTAAAAAGGTAATTAGAGCAGGAACTCAAAGTGCGGGAATCTGGAGGCAGGAACTGATAAAGAGACCTGGAAGGAATGCTGCTTACTGGCTTGCTTCCCATGGCTTGTTCAGCTGTTTTTTTTTGTTTGTTTGTTTGTTTGTTTTTTTAATGAACCCAGGACCACCAGCCCAGGAATGGTCCCACCCATCAATCACTAATTTTGAAATGCCCTAGAGGCTTGCCTACAGACTGATCTTATGGAGGGATTTTTTCCCCCAACGGAAGTTCTCTCCTTTCAGATGACTTTAGCTTGTGTCAAGCTGACATTGAATCGGCTAGCACAGTCTCTTTTTAAACACCCCCCTGAGTTATGTAACATGAGCACAGCAGTTTCCTGACTGCTAGAAAGTTCTCGTCTGCCTCCTTGGAAGCTGGATGAATGACTGCTGGGTGACCCTTCCTTTGTGCAGGCCCCAGGTTATTGGGTTTTACGGAGTCAGAACTGTTTGTTTGTGGAAACTTGAGCAAAACATTCTTGTCCTTTCCACTTCAAGGGCAGCAGTCCTGAACCTCAGTGAGGCTGATACATTTCTGCGCCACTCATGGCCAAGTCAGAGCCATTTCCTGACTAAAGAAGGCCAAGTTTTCTGACTACGGGAGATTTTACAACTCATTTTAAAGGGAAAGCTACTGAAGTCCAGTATTGACTTAGTCAGGATCTATAGCAAGCCAGTGGCCAAGAAGTCAGGATTTTCTGACTGTGGTTGGCATTCATGGTAGGCCTGCATACTCCTCATCCCTGGAGAGGGTGTGATGAGTTCTGGCCACGCAGAGGCCTGCTTAGTATTGCTGGCTCAGCCACAAGCTCTGTCCCTAGATCTCAACTCTAACCTTGGCCTGCTGCCCTGTCTGTAGACAGCAATTGGACCCCAGTGACCAGCAGGAGACCAGATGGGGATATGTCTAGGCACTCAGGCCCGGTACACTTGTGACCCAGGGGAGTGGCTTTGAGCCTGCCAGCACATACAGATGGGGCCTCTCAGATGTAGCACCCTCAGAGTTCACACACAGAAGAGAACCTGAAGCATGGGCAACAGTGCCTAAGAGCACCAGTCCATCTCCAGAGGAAACAAGGTCAGGGAGTTTATAGCTGC